CCTGTTCCCGGTGGCTCCGCGGGCCCCTCACGGGCCGGGCCGGGGCAGGAAAGGGCGCCCCCTGCCGGCTGCCCGTGCCCACGTGCGCCCTCCCCGCGCGGCGCCGCGGCGCGCAGCCAATGGGGGAGCGGGGGGCGCGCCGCGGCGATCCCCGGTGCCGAGGGCGGGCAGGGCGCACTCCGGCCCCGGTCCCGTCGCCGCGCTCCGCGCTCGGCCCCGCCGCCGCACTACCATGTTTGACGGCTGCCTCCTGCCCCTCGTCGTGCCTTGCCTGCTGCTCTGCGGACTGGACRCCGGCACAGGTAGCGCTCCCTGCCACTCCGGCTCCCCTTCCCCGGTGGCGCTGAGAGGGTCCGGTCCCGGGCGGCAGCGTGCGGGCACGGAGCGCGGGGCACGCACCGCATCTCCTGCGTGGCCGCGGTCCCAGCCCGCGGGATGAATTGCTCCAGGCTTTTGTATTTTCTTTTCCTGTCCTCCCGCTGCTGCTGTAGCGTTCCATGTGGAAAGCTGCTGACTGTCCTTGGCGGCGGCTGCGGCTCGCTCTGCTTTTCCCCTTCTCCCTGCAGATTTTTATTGGGGTTGGTGAAATGCGATGCTTGTGTCTGAGCTATACATTTTTTTTWATGATACAAGTAGCTTTAGTGTTTGCTCTATTCCTCTCTTCCCTTCACRTTTCTGTCTCTAATATATGTGTGTATAAAGAGAAATAAATCCCGGTGCTCCTGTGTTTCCATTGTCTGCGCAGCCCGTTCAGTTTGCAGCGCGGGGCTGTCTGCGCTGAAACCCGAGCGCGGGGCTGTCCCGGGGAGCGGGGGGTGCCAGAGCCCCCGGCCGCCCCGTCGGGCCGCGGCACCGGGCTGCGAGCGCCTGAGCCTCTCTCCTTCTCGCCTGCAGCTGGCGGAGCGGAGCTGGAAGTGGTGATCCCGGAGCGAGTGCCGCTGGAGAAGATCCACCTGCTGCCGCCCGGAGGGGATCGCGGCGGCCCCCGGCGCCGGCGGGCAGCGGCGGAGCGGGAGCCGCAGGAGGAGGAGGAGGAGGAGGAGGAGGCTGTGCTGCTCCGCCTGCCCGCCGCCGGCGCCGAGCTGTACCTGCACCTCCGCCGCGACCTGCGCTTCCTGGGCCGGGGCTTCACCGTGGAGCGGCGGCGCGGGGAGGCGCGGCGGCCCCCGCGGGAGCGGCTCTGCTTCTACTCGGGACACGCTCTGAACCGCAGCGACTCCTTCGCCTCTCTCAGCACCTGCGCCGGGCTGGTACTGCCATCCCACCCCGCTCCCCTCCTCAGGGCTGGTACTGCCATCCCACCCCGCTCCCCTCCTCAGGGCTGGTACTGCCATCCCNCCCGCTCCCCTCCTCAGGGCTGGTACTGCCATCCCACCCCGCTCCCCTCCTCAGGGCTGGTACTGCCATCCCGCCCCGCTCCCCTCCTCAGGGCTAGTACTGTCAGGTTGATGAGGTGGGATGCCTGTGCTTCCTAAGCGAGGTGACTCTCCTGTCCCCTCACGTTGCTGTCCCCTCACGCTGCCCTCCCCTCATGTCGCTGTCCCCTCACGTCGCTGTCCCCTCGCCTCCCGGGCCCTTGTGAGCGCCGCTGCTGTCCCGTGGTGGGTGTTGTGCCCACCCAGCTCTCCATGGTGAAGCTGCCTCAGCCTCCGCCATCCCTGAGGGGCCTCATCCCTGTGGTTCCGCTGTGAGCGGGCAGCAGAACCTGAGGGTGTCCTGGTGGACGGGACATCTTGTGTCACTGTTCCCCAGCCATGGGGCAGGTGCTGTGCCCACAGAGGGTGATTTGGTGCCATCCTGGCTCGTTCCTGTGGCGCTGCCGGCAGTGTTGGGCTGTTCTGGGAGCTGTGGTCAGGGAGCAGCCCCTGCTCCAGCAGGAACATYCCACTCAGGAATGCTTTACCCGCCACAAGTGTTGGGATTTCTCTGCCCAAGGCTGTAGTTTCAGGTGGCTCTGCAGGGCCTGSCTCTCCTCTGAGCATCCTGGTAGGAGCAGATGATCTTGTGTGGGACAGAAAGTCTCTCAGYGGTGGAAGCTGAGATGCTTAAGACRATGAGTAGTTTGCAATTACTGTTGATAATTTGAAATTACTTCAGAAAGTCAGCACAGCATTAGGCAGTGATTCCCAGCACATAGTCCCGGGAAGTGTGCCTGTCGAAACAGACCTGATGATGGAGATTTATCCTTAAAAATGTAGTGAGGAGCAGTTCATGCTCTGCCCTCGGGGCTCCGGCCTTCGTTCCAGAGCCATTTGAGGGCGCTGTGCCTCAGGATTAAAAAAACCCAACAAACCGATGCTGAGCGTCTGAGTGGCACTGGAAGTTGAGCTGAGTTCCACCGAGGGAAGCTTAAAACTGGTATCTCTAGTTCAAGCCTTAAATCACTAACAGCTCTATGCTTTTGTCACCAGGCACGTTTTGTTAATCTTGCTGGGCTTTCAAAGCTGGAAAGCACAAACAGAGGAGGAATCTTTAAAAAAARGAGGAATGTAGTTGTAGGCACAGTATTAACTGTCTGAGATCAGGGAATGGAGGAGGGGGTGAAAAAGATTGGCRAAATTCCCAGTAGAAAAGTTGAAAAAGAAACAAGACTGGTTAGTTTTGGTTCACTACTCTGCGAAAGTGAACAGCAAMTTGCAGTACCTGTTTGGATCATGGGGATTCTAAGCAATGGCTAAATTGACATAACTGAGCTGGATCAGCCTGGGGTCAGTGTCAAAGCTGCTGGCTTGTGGCGCCTCTTGGGGACCAAAGCCTTTTTTCAGTGACAGTGATGGTAAAGCTCYGCTTGCCTTTGCCTGGGAGTGCTGAGTGTGGTGTGGGCAGAAGTGTTGAAAAAGAGGTGTTTCTRCATGTTGGGATACTCCTTTCCTTTTAGAGGAATCCATTCATTCTCTTCAGTCAGATAATCACCAGGAGTGAGAAGGGGCTAAAAGCAGGTGCATGGTACATTTGAGTGATTTAAGGTTCATAACACCCTTGTGAGCTCAAAACTAGAGAACAGAAAGCTCCAGGGTRTTGAGGATGAGCCTGAGCTTTAGAWGGACGAAACTAAACTTTAGATGAGCCTCATTAATTATTGAAATGGTTTCATTGRAATGATCCACCATGTAGATGAACCTTCTTATTCTAGCTAAGTGGACCTTTTTGGTTTCTTCAGTCTATTGTTAAACATGAAACATGTTACATTTTAGGCAGTTTTCAGGGAATACACAGCCTTTGCAGTGGCCACACTAAACCAGCATACCTGTCATGAAAACTGCAATTTAGTGGTAAGATGTTTTCTGGGATCAGGGGAATCAAGAGTTTGCCCCAGATTGTCTAGGAAGTCTTTAATCTGCTATGAGTTCAACTGAGAGGAGGTGACTCTAGAGCCCAAATTTTTTCTAGTCTGGCAATTTAAAATACCACTTTAAAAAAATTAAATTTTCCCTTTGCTTCCTTGAGCCCTGTTTTGCTGCAGAAAGCATTAACCTTTACCCTCAGCAGCAGCTTCACAGGTGGAACAGGGGCCAGACCTGCTGGACACGAAGRAAGACCTTGGTAGTGAAAACCTTGCAGCCTGTTAGTCCTGGCATTTGTCTTCTGAGCAGTTCTAGTGCTGCAGGGGGAGGTTTCCTGAAAACTCCAGCATGGGAATGCTCATTGGACTGTGGTCAGGACATCTCATTCAGGAAAGCTGATGTAGAGTGGGCGGTAATACTGTGTCCTGATCTCCAGCTGGATCAGGCTTTGCTGTAATCATATTCTCAGCCATGCCATAAATCATACCAAAAGTGATATAAAATGATCAGGGCAAGTGGAGTTCTAGTAAAAACAAAATCCCTGACACAGTGGCATGAAAAGTGAGCTGCAGCCAGACTGAGCAATTGCTTCCTGGTGATGGTATCAGATTGCCAGTGTGGCATCTGAAGGTTGGGGTCTGGTTTTAAGCTGTGCTGCTTTAACCAGTGTGTGGCTGCTGTAGGTTCCTGCTTTGGGAAGGGTGGCAGTGCTCTYGGAGCTGTGTGAGGTCACAGTGAGTTAAAGACTGCTGTACCCAAAGTCTCATCATTTGGGTGCAGCTAAAATAGCTCATGTGAGGATGCTCCAAGCTTCCTGTTCCTCTTGGCAGTCCAGGAATTCAGCTTAGGCAGGAGGCACCGTGTTCCTGGAAAGTGCTGCCGCCTTCCCTTGGCAGCGCTGTCCTCTGGGGAGTGCAGTTGTGCCAACACTTGGATCCTGGCCACAGCTCTGGGCTGCGTGTCCTTCCCTGCTGCTGGGCACTTCTGCAGCCCCTGGGACCAGCAAAGACAGCAGCCAGTGCAGGAACTTTACTTTTTGGAAAGTTCCAGCTTTGTAAGGCCACAATAGAGTCCCTTTCACATGCTGAARTGCTGGACTGCAGTGTCAGCCCGTTACAACAGGTGCAGGCTTTTCRTGTATCTTGTACCTATATTTTGGAAGCAGTTACAGTTTTAAGAGGGTCATGAATCCGTGTTAAAATAAGGATTAGATTTTGACTTAGAAATGAACTGGAAAACTCTGTTCAGTAACTGTATCYGGAAGGTGAAAATCACTGGGATCCATTTAGAGGCAGAGGTTTGATTCTAAATAACTTCTCTTCCATTTTAAAATCCAGAATCTTTGATTTTGGATTGCTCTTTGGCTTATCTCTAATTAAAGTGGGTTGTCCTTCTCAGTTGGGCTAAGAGTTTGTGCCTCCCTCCTGTTCAGACTAGTTCATATAATATTTTCATACCCCAGTTTTGTCACCTTTGAATTTCCTTATGCAGACTGAATCAGTGGAATTGGATGATGCCCATTACAAGGGTTCATGGAGTGAGAGCAGTGATTTTTCTATTTGTAGGGTGGAATAGACTAATTGAAGCCACACCTTAAGAAATGCAGGCTGCAAGCTGGGAAACCCTACATATTTTATAGTAATGTCTCATACAGTCTACTCCGAGAGGAATAGGGTTTCTTTTCTTCCAAGCTTCATGTGCATTTGCATTTGTTAAACTTCCTGCAACTCCTGGTGGACAAATCTTCCAGGTTGTTAAAACTTTTCTGAATGGTGGCTCTTTATTCTGGTGTGTCCCGTTCACTTGGGACACAGGTGCTGCCCTTCAGGTGACTCTGGAGCCTCTGCTGCTGTGGGAAGCAGGGCAGAGCAGGTGTGTGAGGATTAAAAGATGATACAATTTCCCCTGAGGAAACCTTCAGCTCCACTGAACTCTCCTGTCTAGGAGAGGAGCTGTCTGGCATTCATCCACAGCTGGGCCATGAGCTGAAAAGTTAAACCTCTTAAAATTACTGTACTGGGTTTCCTTGTATTGGGATTTTCTTTCCCCTTGCACAGTGGTCAAGAAGGAGAACATGTTGGGGTTCCCTTTTTTAGCAAAGTTGGAGGCCAGGGCAGRTATTCCTGGGTATGGTCTGCTCTCAGAACTGAATGTAAACCTGAAATGACTCTGGAACAAGACTTAACTTAAAGCTCTTCTTTTCAATTTGCTTGAATTGCACTTTCAAATAATAACCAACCAAAGCTGAAACATGGTTAGTAAGGAACCACATGAAGTTTATTAAACTGTGTTTGAGGGTTGTTTTGTTCTTCACTTTAAACATTAACTTCCTTTTAACTTKGAGGAAATGGTTAAACAACGATTTACAGTGTAACAGTTGAGAAATTGAGAAGGGGATGGAATTTGTCAGATGTTTAAATCTGTTCTCTTTTCAGCATGTTCGTATGTATGTAACTAATGAACACTTAGGAACAAGAGAAAAATCTGTTAAAGATTCAGCATTTCACAGATCTCCTTCAAAGATGTTGTGAAAATAAAAAGGGCTGGAAAAACAGCGTAACTGTTGGAGAGTATTAACATGTGGGAAGGTTGAGAACCATGTGCAGAGAACACTGAGCATTTGAGTCCCTGTTCTGAGTCCCTGTTGCTCCACCAGCACTAGCAGGGTGCAGGGACAGAGCAGTGAAGCCAAGGAGGTGGGACAGGGTCGTGCAAAAGCTGTGCTGCCACTGTCATTTCAGTGACATTGTGTGAGGACCTTCCTCCTTTCCCTGCTGTCATTTAACCCAAGAAAAGCTGCACTGGAGGATGATGTGTAGCAGAGGAGTGAGCTACTACCGGTAGTACAAGAGTAGATGGGAGAGTGAGCAGGTTACTGGAGCAACCTCTGTGYGTGTGAAACTCTGGGTAAGAGCACGTGGGAGTGTTTTGGTGGTGAGCAGTGTTGAGCTGACTTCTAAAGGATATTTCATATCCTTCAAGTGRAAGATCGTGCCACTGTTAGGCACAGTGGTGAGTGGGGCTGTAGTGGGAAGTGTGGATTATTGTTTGTTTTAATCAACTTGTCAGTTTGCCTGGCTTTGGAGGCTGAAATCGTTCCAGCTTTTCCTGTTAGCAGAGCTGCAGGATCCTGTCAGCTCCGTGGTCTGGCCATACCCACTGTAAAATCCAGGCTGGATTCTCAGTGATGATAAACTCCTACCCTCCTCTGAGTTTTTGGGCTCCTGATGCCTCCTGTCTCTTCAGGATGGTGGGGCTGGACGGCAGCTGCTTTTCCCAACATTTAGCAATCCTGGGATCTGGCACAGTGTCAGGTCCGGGGCTCCCACAGAGAGAGAAGGATGGGAGGGAGTATCCCAGCTTTTGATATGCATCTCCCTGTGYAAATGTGAATTGGCACATCCAAAGCATTTAATTTAATTGGAATGATTTCCAAAGATGTGGGAAAAGTAGCTCCAAGAGTTACATGGTCTTCTGTTTTACTTCTTTATCTTCAAAATGTAAAGCCCTCTGCAGTCCCTGAGCTCCTACAGATGAGAGAAGAAAAGCACAGAGCCTTTGCCCAGTGCTGATGTTTGATATTCCATGTTGGGATTACCACAAGACAGGATCTGGAGGATTTGAAGGATGCAAATGAGGAGTAAATTTCTTATGGGAAAAGCAAAATAATGATCAGACTATTCAAGTTACCTGGTCCAGAAGATCTGGACAGCTTTGGGGACTCTTTTGAACCCAGCTGGCAAGTCTGGGAAAATTTTTAACTCCCTAGGAATAGTTCGTAGGCACGACTCTGCAAATCCTTCCTGCTTGAAACTCTGTTTGCCTTGTCAGATGGAGCTTGAGATGCTTCCCAACGTATTCCAGGGTGAGGACTCATGGCTCTTTCCCTCCATAGGTTTCACAATTCCAAAGCAAATGTGAACCATAAGTCTTTTCCAATGGTTTAAATTATTTTCACTCTTGATGCCAGAAAGTTGGGATAATGTTGGGTGGTGATGAAGCTGACTTCTTCTTACATATTTTTGGCACCAGCTGAAATGGTTGGCAGTCTGTCAGGAGCTCTGGTGTGGCTTTTAGTACCATGGCACCAGATTTACAGCCCTTCTTCTAAATAATTAAAATCTATATTAAAAAAGGGGGCTGGGGCTACCTCCCRGCTGGAAGATTGGAACAAGGAGGGGAAGTAGTGTAGAACATCRTAAAGGAGTCTGGAAGATCAAGTCACTGGAGCTTTTGCTGTCTCTGAAGCAATYCTGACAAAGCCCAACTTGTGATTTAAATGAAAAGGCAACCCTTTGAACACTCYGGGGCAGAGTGCGTCTTATAAACTGTGAGCATTCCACAGCACCAAGAAATAATGTCAGGTTTTCTGTGTAAATGGAAGCCCTTCTGGGAGGTGCCAAAGCATTTTATCCTTAAGCAATGCCCTTGTCCCAAGAGCAAGGTCTCCCTTGGAAGGCCCCCAAAGAGGTGTCTCTTGTCCCCTCAGAGACAGGGGACTGATTGTCTCTGCTGGGCTTTGCTGCCATGGCCAGTGCAGACACCAACTTTTMCAGTTTCATTTTTGTCCAAGTGCTCTTTGGAAGTCAGTGACCCTTTGTGAGAGACCCTGGTTTGCCCTGAATGCTGTTCAGCTCGTGTGGCTGTCAAAGGAGGAGAGTTCTTGTTTCTGCTAGCAGAAATTCCTCTAGCTGGAAATACTGGGCCAAAGGGATTTCCTGGGTGTACGTGAGGACTGAATTTGGCAGGGAGGTGTGGAAATGTACAATATACAGTATGTATGTAATGTATATTATAAATCATATTAGTGCAGTCAGCTGTTGAACATACAGCGTTTGCATGTACGTGCAGAGCATTTCTTTGGAGAGTTGCCTGGCTGGCACAGAATGTGGGGAGGGGGGGACCAAAAAAGTCTGGTCTCTTTTTTTTATGTCTGGGATGGGTGTTGAACCTCTCTGGAAGTACCTTTACCTCTCAGGTGCACTGCAGGCACAATCCTGGCAGGCCAGATGAGCCCTTCTGTTGTTAACTACAGTTAAATCAACCTAGAGAGTTCCCTCAAGGGAGGGTGTACATGGCAGAGCTGYATTTTGAGACTTCTAATTGCAATATAAATAATCACTGGGTTAGTACAATAAAAAGTAAGAACCCCTCGTTGTAAATACTCACTTTGTGCAAAGTGTTACTRCTTCAGTGTTGATTACTAAACCTGGAGGCTTTGTTAAGTTTTAAGGTGATAACTTTGCTTTCACTCTCTTCTTTACRTGCCAGAAAAGGAGTGGAAAAAGCATAAAAGAACCTTAAAAGCTCTGGGTTGTGAGCAGAGGAGGGCTCTCCTGGGGCAGAAGCTGGCTTCCAAAGGTGTTCTTGCCAGCCCTGGTGTAAGGTCTGGACTTGGTGCAAGGAAGGCAGGGATTTAGTGCTCTGACCTGGACCCTGTGGAGTTATTTAGGCAGGGTCTTTGCCTTCCTTGTGTCACTTATTCCAGGGATGGTGGAAAATCCTGTAACTGGGACAGTGCAACAGTCCATTCCTGACTTCACATCTGAAACCCAACCCGTGGCTTGTGGGGGAAGCAGGGCTGACTGTGTGGCCATTAATGTATTTGGTCCCAAAACCAGTTTGTGACTGTGCAAGTCACTCTGGTGCCTGTGAGGGTGGTACACAAGGGGGCCTCCTGTGTGCAGGCAGTGTCACCTCTGTGCTCTCTGAGATAGGAAATGCCATTTAATAGCAGGGCAATCCTGGCAGTAGGAAAGGTGATTTTGAAGGGATTTCTGTTAACAGGATTTATTTGTCCTCATGTGGGCTGAGCATCTCGTAAAACATGTATTTGTGGGGCTGTGTCTGGAGGGAGAGGAGGAAGGGAAGGCAAAGGTGTTGACAAGAACCCACGCCTTTCCTTTGTACATGCAGAGTGCATTGTGTCTAAATAGTGCTCAGTGATATCAAAAACAAGCAAGAGAAGTGGGTGAAGTTCTTCAGTCTGTATTACACAGGCTGAATGTGACCATAATCCCATAATTTCCTCACTCTGCAAATAATGATTGCAGTGAAATGACCTGGGCTAAGACTGGGCTCATAGGCAAGATTTGGATACCACACTGATGGGTTTTTTATTCTGTTTTGTGGGCAGGTTGGCTACATCCAGCTGGGATCAGAGCAGCTGCTGATCCAACCCGTGAATGCATCTGAGACCTCGTTCAGTGGGAAGGAGCATTTCATCAGGCGGAGACGATCCACCAAAGCCAGCCATCCCACCAAGCCCCAGGGCCCTGAGGAGCACTGCAAGGTGGTTTCAGGTGAGCTTGGAGTGGCTCCTGAGAGCAGCCTTGGCAGTGCAATTATGTTTGTRTTTTGGAATTCCTGTGGTTGTGCAGTAGGAGCTGTAGAAGGACAGCAAGTGTGAGTGAATCCTGCTGCTGCTTCAGGCAGGAGTCACATCACAGACATCGAATTGTCAGGGCACATGCTGTAGAATTTGATTTGTGAGATGATAAACTCTGCTTTAACCTTGCAGTGTGACCACTGCTCAGGAAGGGATTCACTGGGTTTTTAGCAAAGGTMCACATTTTTTTAAGTGAAGTGTGTTGGCTGGGGGCCTCTTCCATCTCRCCTTTCCCCTGGGGTTGTGCTGAGCAGGCAGGAATAGAATGGTCATCCTCAGATTTCAGAATGTGGAAAACATCACTACAGCTACTTTGATCAGAGCTATCATCTGTGGACTCCAACTCTGGGGATCCAGTTTCTTACAGGATGAAGAGATGTCTGGAGATAGAAGAGATGCACAGCTTGTGTTTCAGAACAATCTGCTTTCTTTTCCTGTTTCTCATGCCGTTGTTTTTACTTCTGTCTAGCAGAGCATATTATCCAGGGGGCACAATGGGGAGCAGGACTGGGAGGTTTTTGGGTACAGGAACAAGATTCACTGGTGTGGGAGCAGCAGAGTGCTCAGGGATAAGGGCTGCTGTTGGACAKGGAAGGGCCTGCTCCTAAGCTGTGTCCTCGCTGGCACTGCTGCTGCTGAATCCTGCAGCCAGGGCCTTTATTTTCTCCTGTGTGGAGCTGAGCTCTTAACAGTTCAGCAGGTTTATCATTCTCAGGGGTTCAGACTAAGCCAATCTTCTTTCTGATTGTCTGAGAATGAAATCTTGGATCTGGTTGCAGTTACAGATCCCTTATGTCTCTTTTCAGAGAATTCAGCACCACTCTGATTTCCCAGCCAAGTTCCGTAGGTGCTGCAGCTCTGTGGTCACAGAAAATGCATTTCAGAATTCTTACACTGTAAAATAAGACAGCCATTAGTTAAGAGCTAAATTGAACCAAAATCAGTCCAGGAAATCAGCCTCATCCTTTTGCCACTGAGCCTTTTGACCTTCTGTCTAGGGGCAGGATGCTCCCTGGCCTTGGCAGAACTGAAATTCYCTCCCTGAGAAGAGGGACTAAAGGAAGGAAACTGGGGAGACATTGGGTAATTAATAACATGGGATCACAAAAGGAAAGAGGAGTTGAGTGACTGTGAAGATACTAAAGGAACTGAAAAAAGAGAAAAGAGTATTTCCAGTGGCACCTACTGCTTCCTGAGGGCTTCTGGGGAAGGCTTCCTGTTGTTACAGTTGGGAACAGAATTCCCATCCCTTGGGTGTTGACTCTGCTGTGCTCAGAAGGGAGCCAAGGCCTGGCAGAGCTGCTCCTGCAAACAGCCACTGCTCCAGGTAGSCCTGTCATAAAATAATGCAATTGCTCGTGGGCTTTCCCACTTAAAGGCAGACCCTGAATGTTTGTCATTGTTGAGGGAGAGAAATGTAAGTCACKGCTGTTAATAGGCTTAGCACGTTAATGACCTAATTGACTCCTGTCTGCTTTGGATTAACTTTCGTGCACAAGGAGTTTAGAAACAAAAAAATTAATCCTGTCTGACACACAAAAGATCCATTCCTAATGAAACTCTGTGGAAGTGACCATCTAGGGGTGTGCTTCCAGAGTTTCTCCTGGGAAAAGGTCTCYTCACATTGGTACTCACCAATATAGACTGGTCAGATTTCTACTAGAGGTTGTTTTCCACTGGCTTAAAATTTGGCTCACCCAGGCTAAAACTTGGCAGGAAAGATTGGAGGTTGTAAATACATGGGAAGATTCCTATGCCAAACATTTTMGATACAAACCCTGTATTGTGGAGCAACATAGAAAAATACAGGTCTGTGTAAATACAATATAAAATGTGTGATTTTCAAGGGCATAGAACTGCCATGCTTGGGCATTTTCCAGTCCTTTACTGCTGTTCTTGTATTTTCTGAATACACAAGAATCACCTCCATACGTATTTCCTTTTGAAAACTTTGTAATTCAATGGTAGCTGGCATAATCTGGGGTTATTTGGGAATTAAAATACAAAGCAGCAGATGCTGAATTTTTCATGTTAATGATTGATCATGTCATAAAAATTTAAACAGGGCTAAATTGCTCAGTGGCAAATTTCCTGTGATACATGAACTTAATTACTTGTAAAACAAAGATGCTTGGTGATGTAATGGCTTGTGTGAGTGTTTGGAGGAGGAGCAGGAAAGCACTTTAGGAAAGCAAAATGAGCATAATCAGGAAGTGCAWCTGAGGGGACAGAGAGCACAGCTTTCCAAGGGCATTGCCCTTGTGTTCTACCCAAAAATGTGGTGCTCTCCCTGCAGACCCCAGCCTTGGGAGAGGGAAAGTGGCTCCAGGCCAGGTAATGCCATCAGGCTGGTTTGATAAGGAGTGGTTAAAATATCTAAAACAACTCCTTTCGTCTAAGTGGTATAACATGTCCTGCAGCACTCAAAATTATTTTTAGTCTGCAGGAGAACTTTGTGTGAGCCAAATTTCTCCTGGAATAATCTGTATAAGAGGATTAATCTGGCTGTAGTCAAGAATGGGAAAATACTTAAGGTTTTGCATGACTGAGTCCTTGAGATMTGAACCTGAAAGTGTCTACTAATGGGTTAAAAAAATCCCAGGGCCCATGTTTTAATTCCTTTGTTTAAATTCCAAAGTGCTTCAGCAGCAAAGGAGGGATCCCATCAGCATGGCCCAGGTGCTATTGTTGGTCATATGATACGTGAAAATGTTTTATTTTTATCACCTGTCATCCAGCAAGAGAAAGAGTTCAAGTCACAATGCACATTTCTGCTCAGGCACGAACATGAGCCCCTGTGAGGCAAACAGAAAACCTATTAAAAGGTTTCCAGGTGCACATGCAGTGAGGGAGAAGGAAGGGAAGGTTGGGTTTCACTTGCTCTGAAGCATGGAGTCGTGAGGAACATGGRAAATAGCTTCACACCAGTGATGTGAAACCCTTCTCATCTCTGGATRCGGGGCAGCATCTGCACAAACCTCCTGTCACACCCTGCTCTGATTTTAAAGCTCTGACAACTTTCCTGTCAAAGGTCCTGGAGAGGTGTTTTTGCTGTGGAGAGAGCGGAGTCAAAGGGAGTCTTGTTTGTAGGTTTTAATTCCTATAAGTAAGAATTTCCCTGCAGAAGAGCCAGGCAGGAGAGAAAGATCTCTTTTAGTGCATCCGACATGATTTTTGCAGTGCCCTATGCCTGASATAGGGCTTCTTTCATTGCCTTGTCTCTGTGACCTTGTGACATCCAATAAAGCTGTTTTCATGTGACAGGATCCACCCCAACCTCAGCTGCAGTAAATGGATTATTTATGTTAAATATCATGGAATAACAGTAGTTAACTATTTACTGAGATTTGGACACATATTTCACATGTTTGCTCTGCCATCAGAGTCTGTGGATGGGAAAATTTTTTCAGTTTTTCCTGATTTTGAGAAAATGTCAATGTTCATGGCAAAAACCATTTTGTGAAAGCACAGAAATCTCCTCTAACCATGTCATAAAACTTTCTGTTTCTTTGGGAAAAGTAAGTTCTGTTACAACTTTTCCAAAAGTCTCAAGTGATGTATTAAAGTCTCCTTACATAGAAAGGATTTGATATAAAATACAGTCCAGGAGCATGAGAGAGAGCAGCTTGTCTTTGGAGGGAAGGTTGTTATTTCATGTTTATGATATAGACCTCATAAATTACTCTTAAATGTGGGTTTGCTTTTAAACCCTTTTGTCAGTTTAAAAGAACCAATTTTCCTTTAATGCAAATGTGCATTAAAACAGGAGCATCAGTATTTTAATTCACAAGATATCAACGTGATGCCTCTCTGCATAGTTACTTTGCAACCTGTTTTAACAATCTATCAAAGCTGGTAATAATTTAAGTGAGTGCTGGTGTGCAGGTATCAAATGTGGGGAATGCTTTCCCTGAACAGGTATAAATCTTAAACACATGTTACAGCTCCGTTGCATTTCCCCATCTTTAATCATTGTCTCTTAGCTGTGTTTTCTCTGCAGGTTTAACTTGGCCTGAAAGAGCAGTTGTTATGGCCAAAAACATGTGCACTAAAAATAGAGAGATGTAATGCAACCTGTATTAGTCCATATTAGGAAGCAGCTGTTGGAGAATTAAAGCAGGATTTCAACAATGGGCTCCACAGAAGATGTAATGTGATTAAGTGTTTGCAAGCACAGAAGGATTCCCTGTATCAGGAACTCGGCATTTTACCCATGGGAGTGTGTCTCACTTCTGTGGATAAATCCCTTGGTTTTTCCAGGTCTTCCAAACAGGGAGTCTGGGTTTTCCTGTGAGCCTGTGATTGTTTCCTCATGGCTGATAAACAGCAGCTTCCTGGAGCAGTCTGACGTTCAGAAATGTCCTTTTCCATCACATGTGGCAAGTGAGGTTTTATTGCAGGTCTGTTCTGGATGATTCCCTCAGTGTGGATCGTGAGGAGTGTGAGGGACCTCTTCCTCTGCTGTCAAAGTGAAAAAGAGACATGAAAAGGAAGTGTGAATACACACAGTGGATGAATTTCTTCCCCTTCCAGAGCAGGTGCTGTTCATTTGCTTGGTTCCTAATGATGTGAGTGCTGGTTTCCATTGGAACCCAATGAAATCCAGCCTGGCAGTGGGTGATGAGCTCAGTTATTGTCCAATGTCCTGCTTAGGRTGTTCATGGATATTTCCATGGTCATTGTGGCTAGAAAAGCAGAGAGGTGGTTCCTGGACTAAGGTTGAGCAGAAATCACAGTTTGTGATTCTTGTCCTGTCTCACAGACCTGCCATTAAAACAAAGTCCTGATGTGTTGTGTTGATGACTGAGTTTGTTTTGCAGAAGAGTAAGGTTTTAAACTGATGTGTCCAAGCCACAGACTAACTTGGATAACAATCCTTGCAGTAAAATCTCCATGGTGTTTTGAGATGCARCT